AATTCAAAAGGACTGTAACTTGTAAGTAAGAATACAAAATTAAATATTGCAGGTATTTATGATTGAGTGTTTGACTGAGAAACATTAGATTGGTATTCCGCTATTATTATAGTAGAAGGTATGATTTGATAGTCGCAATAACAAGTTGCATTCTCGCTTTGTTTGTCGTAGAGCCTAGTCCGTCGGACCAGATTAGTACCTATTAGTATTAGTATTACTATAAACCGACCAGGNAGGGAGAATTGACTATACAGTCTTCAAGTCAGCCACTCCGCTAACTACAGTTAGTTACGTAAAGTTGATTCAAGACGTGAACCATGAATGACAATACGATCGGATAATACAAAAATATATATGAGCGTTGTTATGAAAAATAAATAAATAATAAATAAACTATACATGCAAATTACCATGAGTCCACATGAGCCTGGAGACCGCAATATTAAATATACATATGCAGGTCCCAAATATATATCAGGAGCTAATAATGACAAATTTGTCATTATTAGCTTTTAATTTTGTCTTTATTAGCTTTTAATTTTGTCATTATTAAATTTTTTATATTTGATTATAATCATCATCATTTAATTTTGTCATTATTAGCTCCTGATATATATATATAGACTATCAGAAAAGAAAAAGCGCTCACATAGGCCTATACGCATAGCTGAGCAATATTATTGACAGGGAAAGAAAAAATCAAAGCACAACAATTGAAGATCACACAACACTCAGCACAGGCAACAAATCACACACAACGAAAAGCCAAAGGCAGAGTGTCAATTTTATAACCATAGATATCATGTAACTATTATAAGTGTTATATGATGATTCTATGATTATAACATATTTTGTGATCTGATATCTAGTCGACAGGTGGCGCTAAAATAATCGCCATCTTAATTTCTCGAACAAAGAAACCAACGTAATTCTCAAATTCAAAAGGACTGAAAGGAAGAATACAAAATTAAATATTACAGGTATTTATGATTAAGTGTTTGACTGAGAACCATTAGATTGGTATTCCGCTATTATTATAGTAGAAGGCAGGCCACGAATTAAGTGACGAGAGGGGCAAGGCCCAAAGGCCCAAAGGCCCAATTTTTTTGGGGCATGTGAGAAATTGCCTTGAATTTTCTCTAAAATGAACTAGCTGAAACCCGCGCTACGAGCGGGCTTAGTGACTGTGATGCATGTGTTACCAGTAGGCTACAGTAGTGTTATGTGTAAGGTGTGATATGGAGAGTTTAGTGGTTGCACATGTTTTTTTTTATGGTTGAGATGTCAATAGTAATACGTGCTTCGCATGTTTCCACTTAGACCAATAAATTGTGCCCTAAAAAATTTTATATTCTGATGTTATTTTAGGATTTATTTATTGGTTTATTTATTGATCCTAAAATAACATCAGAATATAAAAAATTTTAGGGCACAATTTATTGGTCTAGTTTCCACTGTGTGCGGACGGGACCAGGTATTATTGCGTGGTTGTGATCACAGGCACTTGGACCGTTTCAATAATAAAATGATGGTTAATAAATACAACTTGTCAGTAGCCTACTACTACAGTAGTCAGTACCAGCAATAGTCTTAATGTTTGATTTGACCTAATAACTTCACTTCAACACCGTT